CCAGATTCAGGCCCAGAGGTTGTACCTCTAAAAACGTTTGGACCTTTTTTTGTTTTCGGACAGATTTCGGACCGTTCGGACCTGGACCGACGTTCAGGCCCAATGCATCCGCACAGGCCCTGAATCGGACCAGGTACCGAACAGGCCCAGTCCTGGGCAGGGCCTGGACGTCCGGTAGGGACCCAGGCAGGCCGTTTTAGGCCAAGGACTGAACCAGTTTCGAAGCCTGCGATCTGGACCGTGGATCGGAGTTTCGATCTGCACGGTCCAGAACGCAGRCCGTGGACTCTTAAGCTGGGCCAACGCCCAGTTCTGGAAAAGAAGGTACGAGGAGAAATCCCAGCGTTATGCTGGTTCAGAGTTTCCCCTGCTGCGCTATTTTGGAGAACTGCCGCTGYGCTAATTTTGGCTGCGCTATTTTGCTSCGCTGTTCTACTGCGCTAACTGGAGGGAAGCTGCGCTCTTGGGAGATGCTGCTGCGCTAACCCAGCGCCAGAGAGAGAGTTAGAGGAGTTAGTTAGAGAGAGAGAGAGAGAAGAGGACTTACCTGTACCAGCGCCATAGCTGCCTTCGCGGTACCTGCAGTTCAGCATCCGCCAGGTAAGTGCAGAAAGCGCCTAGCTTTCTTCTTCTTCTTCTTCTTCTTCTTCTTCTTCTTCTTCTCTCCTCTTCTCCTCCTACTCCTCCGAAGTGCTTCTTCTTCTTCTTCTTATTATTATTATTATTATTATTATTATTATTATTATTATTATTATTCAGAGTAGAGATAGAGGTAACTGCAGACATTGTTTGGACACGGCATTCTGCCTTATTGGACGCGACATTCAGATCGGACTTCACTCTACATTGGGATTGAACTGTGTACGACATTCGGAGATCAGACTTGGGTTGGACTTGGTTATCTCCTATGTCTCTCCCCTTTCTCTCCCGCATGTCTATGGRTCTCTCCCCATGTGTGTGAGCGGAAGGGCAATCTTTCTGATGTCCTGCCCTTCCGAAGTTTCCCTCTTTCATGTTGTCTGTCCTCGTGTCCTTTGGTTACTAAGACTTCCGCTGTGCTGCTTCCCAGCCCATGATGATGATACAAATGTGTTGTTATTGATTTCTCGTTGAATTACTCTTGGCATCGTGCACATCGACATCTTGTGAATGCTGCATCTATGCTTCCAGTTGTTGCAATTTTCATCATTGCGAGATCTTAGGCTCTCGGTGCATTTCACTTCCTTATATGCTACATGTAGACTAAGAAGAGGTGGAACGAGCAATGTGCCATCTTGGCAGCCCTGCCAGATCAGAAACAGGCTGGGCTTCTATGGCAAATTTATCACCTGACGATCCCAACAGCACAATGGCTGGCACTTAGGAGCCAACACAAGGACCAGGAATGTGCTGCGGGGTGCGGACAAGTAGAGTCTATCCCCCATCTGTTTGTGCGGTGCCGGATAGTCAGGGCATTCTGGGAATGGTGGGCACACGACATGGCAGACGGATCACCGCTGGAGGGCAGAAAGATGGAAGACACTGCCATCCTCTTCGGGGGGCTGATGAACGTGGATAGATCCAGAAAGGAAGATATGCTGGCTGCAGAAACAACACGAGCAGCGGCACTATGGGCCCTGTGGACCCTGCGAAATGAACGATGGAGGCAGGGAACAGCCCCACCGCTCCAAGTGTATCAAGAGAGGGCGCTGGAAAATATCAGGACTGCCCTTATGGCCAACCTCCAGAGGAGCAGCCACACGAAGGAGCAAGGGAAACAAGCGTTCTCGGAAAGATGGAGCCCGTACCCGCAACTGCTCAAACGCAACCCCCAGACGGGCCGGATGCGGTTTGGCCCCATCTTAATGGGCCATGTACCTAGTCCCCAAGATGACGAGGACTGACCTCAACCGATGCGTACCATAGTTAGGAGGGATGGGCGGGGTTGTACAGGAGCTCCCGATAATGTGAGGGGAATAGTTGTATTATAGTACGGGGCAAGAGGAGGAGTGTTCACCTATAGAGGGAGGTCAGAGGGTAAAAGGGGTAAAGAAAATGCTGGGGTTAGAACATAACAATCGCACAGACATGTATAGTTCAGGAGCCAAGGTAGTGTGGACATTTTTTGGTCTTCTTCGGCCACTTTCGGTGCTAATACCACAAAGGATCAAGCATAGGTAGATAGGATTAAGGTTCAGGGATAGGCAAGGCAGGTTTAAAGCCAAGAAAAACCTGACGGTAGGAGAGGTAGAATACCAAGGTCGGAAGGGTTCAGGGATACAGATGACATGTGGTGATAGGAGGCAGAGGAAATGCTGCGCTTAGGTAGATATGGTGGGAAGGTGTGAGTAAGTAACACGTGGCCCGAGGGGCTGCTAGGAACGCCCCCCCCTGCCTTGATCCCTTAGGGATTGTCCTGCAGTGTGCCTTGGTGCTGCTAGTAAGCTTCCCGACTTGCAGGACAACCCCTAAGGGCAGACCAAAGGGTGGGAGCGGGTGGTCCTGGAGCAAAACCCCCTTGGATAGGCGGCTCAAGCCACAAGGGTAGGCTGACTATCTTTCCTGTCTAGTCCCCCTGCTGCTTGTTTCGAAAAACATTCTCTTACCAGTGAGAAGCCACCGGATTAATGCCACCCAGAACAGAAGGGGCTGGGAATTACGAAAAAAAAAAAAAAAAAAAAAAAAAAAAAAAAAAAAAAAAAAAAAACCCTCCTTATGGGTCTATTAGCCATCTATCCATCTGAGCTGGCTGCACAGATGTAGCTGCGTTTCTGTCATCTGTCTGCACGTTAGGCGTTAGGAAATACCGGGGCAAGCAATACATACCACTTTCAGCTGGAGTACATCCCCAGGCCTAAAATCCGGGTACTCTATTCTCTGCTTTGCAACTGCCACAGACTCAGCATTCAGAATCTGCAATACCATCAACCCCCCCCTCCCCCGAAAAGATTTAAAACCCAACCGATGACACAAGCAACAAACACATCCGGAAAAATCAGTGGCTAATGCAAAAGGTAGCCATGCTGATAACGGAAGGAGTAGGAGCGGGTCAGCGGCCTAGCTCAGTTGGTGGAGCACACAAGTGGCATTCAGGAGGCTCACGTCGGCTGTTCGATTCCCCCCGGCCCCCTGCGGCGCCCTTTGAGCTCACCGGCTGCAATAGTTGGCTTGCCCCCCCCCTGCCTGATCTTGGCAGGACTCAGGGATCCAGCCATCCCTCGCTAGAGGTTAGGACCCTGGGCACTACTCCCCCTACAAAGTAGAGTGGATATAGGTGGGTTGCCTTTAGCAATTCCCCCCCCCGGTGCACTGATATGGAGTTCCGTTGTCGAGCGCATCGGCTCCTGCGTGACGTGGCCGGGAGGGCCCTCCCGGCCACGTCACGCAGGAGCCGATGCGCTCGACACAGTGATGCTAGATATGTAGGTAGATAGCACGGGGTATGTAGGCAGTGAGTGTGAAGTAGAAAAAAGAACTCAGAGAAGAAAATAGCGGAGTGAATACAGCTGTCTCCCATATATGAGAAGGAGAAGACAGCTTTTATTGAAGAAGGAAAAAAAAGAAGCAGAAAGGAGTAAGGAGCCAGAGGCACTGATGCAATTAGAACAATGTTCAACAATCACTATTAAAAAGCAGCATCCATGCGACCAAGGGATCTGCATGCACCACTTGAGCGAATAAAACGTCAATGTACTCGAGGTAAATTTAATGGGGCACAAGGGTACGGACGAAAACCAGAAACAAAACCACATTTGATCAGTGTCTGTCATCTCCAAACGGTGAAAAAACCATTGGACAAAGGCCAGGCAAACAGGCGCCAACAGCAAATGGAGGGACACATCTTTTGCTCACCAGAGGGCGGGCATGTCTCACCAGTATCACTAGCCAAAGGGGATAGCTGCGACACCAAAGGCAGGGTAGCATTACACTCAAAGGGGAAACAGGTATCACCATTGAACAGCTGGGCAAGCTTCACCACCTTATGGGTGACGAGCATCACCAGCAAGGGGGGAGAGGTCTGAGATCATCAGAGGCTACTGTAGATAGCGCCACAGCCAAAGAGAAGGACAGGCGCCAACCTCACCACCCCCAAATAGGGACAGCTGTAACTGTGAAACCCGACAGGGATTCGTGGGTCATGACCAGTGTTGAGAGTCATGCCTACCATAGGGGCCCGCAGGTCACGAGAGAATAGCTCCAGGATCCACAGTCGAGTGCCCACTCCTCATGGGAGAGGAGGTCCTTGGGAGGGGGGAGGACACAATCCAGCAGCATTGAGCCTTTCCCCAACGATGTAGAACTTGCAGGACTTGTAACCATACGGATGGTGACTCCTGGGGCAAGGTCCCACTTGCACGGATTACGAGAACCTGGCCGTTGATCTTTGCTATCGACGGTCAACATCGCTTAAAAATTCGTGTAAATGGGACCTAGCCCCTGGATATGACCCCATCTCCTCCTCGGGGTCATCAGCCCCCAGCAGCCTCGGGAGAGGCAGTGGCTACGGCTCATCCATCCATCCATCCATCCATCCATCCATCCATCCATCCATCATCCATCCATCACTGGGCAACACACCACCACTACCACTCCATCACTGACATAGACTTAACCATTCACCGTTTGATCTTTGCTTACATTCATAATATGCTGGGCTTGTTTTGTCAATGCCTTTGTCTTCACATGGTGCCAGATGGGAGCACGGTTGGAATCACCGTCCACAGCTTTGGAAGATGAGAGCAACTCCATGATGCCAGACGAGGTATGGGCAGCATCCAATGCAGTGTCTGCTCTGGGCATAGCGCCTAGAGAGGACCCCTGCCTCGAGGAAGACACCTCCAAAGCCTTGCCGTCATGAGATGCTGAGGTGACGGACATTGTAAACGTTCGTGAACAGAGCCGTGTCTCGCGTTGCTGCTCTGGAAGGCGCTCACTGAAACTTCTGCCTGGTGTCATTGTACTCACCAATCTCCTCCAGCACGGGATAGCGAATGCTGATGATAAACGAGCTGATGAGATAGATGATGTGGACTGCTTCACCTCTGCAAGACTCCCGACTTCCAAGTGCACGGATGAAGCAGGCATCTTGCTACACCCGGCCATTGCACCACGGAGCAACTGTACCAGTAAAAAAAACACAGAAAGTTAGCCATAACACAGGCAGACATATTCATATGTCAATCACATGCCCGGGGCAAAATGGGAGCAAGCCTCTTCTTTTTGCGGGCAGGGGGTGGGGGCCACAGCGGGACTGAGCCGAGTCTCATTGATGAAGCTATCGTCAAACAGCTGGCGAAAATAATGGATCACACTCTGTGTTTTTGGGGGGGAAAAATACATGTGCGTTTTTGGAAAAATCATAAATGCAAGTCTAGGATCTCGCTCGCGGAGGAGGACAACATGGCTACCAAGATTGGCGAAAATAATGGATCACACTCTGTGTTTTTGGGGGGAAAAAATACATGTGCGTTTTTGGAAAAATCATAAATGCAAGTCTAGGATCTCGCTCGCGGAGGAGGACAACATGGCTCCTATTGACCGCCACTTCTCAGCGCCTTGCGAGTTTCAGCACCACCTTCCGCGCGGAGATCGTCTGGGAGGACGGAGCCCTTCGGTCTTCCCTTCCCTCCCGTTTGGACGTGACAAATCGTATTCCTGCCCCTCACTCACCCAGGCCAAGTCTGGATCTCAGAGCGGGCTGACTCCACCGGATTGTCAAAAAAACACTACCTACCTTCTTCCCCCGAATACAACGTACGGTAATTATAACTGTATTTGGGGTATCTTTCAGTCTAAATACAGTTATGATGACCGTACGTTGTATTCGGGGGAAGAAGGTAGCCTGAGGCCCAAGCTGCCAGCCAGGGTTCCGCAGGTGAAATTGTTCCTGTTCACCCAAGAGCCTTGCTCAGTGGGTACACCCATGAACTGTTGAAATACAGACTTGTGTTCGAATCCACATGATGGAACTTGACGAGTAAAACCAACCACTAATGAATTGCTTGGGGCCGGTCAGCTCAATGATAATATCTCACGGCCGTCGCCCTTTTAAAAAAAAAAAAAGGGAATGTTCCTGTTATATCATCAGTTATACCATTGGTGCAGCATTTGGCCACAAGGTAGCCCGACACAGAAGCCAAAAAAGGATGGACAAAGTGACTGGAGAGACAGAGCAAAAGGGTGTGCGCAGGTTGATTAACCAAACTCGCAGACCAAACTGGGGGTGGGGCGCTTGACGAAATCGACTGGCAAGAGGGGGAAGGATGGATAGGGAGAGCAGGGGAGAGAGGTTGGAGGCGAGACGAAGATTGCCTTCTGCTTTTTCCTCAACTGAGCAGCCTGCTACCCACCACGGGTTACATAAGACAGACCAAGAGCGACACACGCAGCAACAACAACATCATCTCACAGACCGGCGGCCAGAGTGGTGGAAAGCGTGCATGCATGCATGCATGCGTAACTGTCGCACAATATCGCACAGCGGACGAAGTCCAACTTCACACGCACCATCAAATTGACCAGCACGCAGTCTCCCGAACACAAACGTGAAATCGGATCTCACTAAACATCGTACCAACTCACTTTCAAGACACACCAATCGGCGGGTTCCTGAAGATCACACCAGTGCTAGTGGTTGCACAGCAGTTTGCACTCCACAATTGAACCTTTTGCCTTTTGCATTTCGCGCTGAACTTTCACGACTTTTTTGCACACTTTGTGCTAACTTCTAGTACCTTTCCCGCGTGGGAAAATAGGGAAAACTGGCAGTTTTCCCAAACTCATGAATTTTCGGAGGTCGGGCCCGACGACGACTGCCATTGCCATTGATAAATCTGATCGGCGGCCGTCGTTTCGTTTCGGCCTCTGAAAAGGTCGGACGCCTACCCGAGGCCCGCTATTTTCCCAAGCGGCAAAGGTACTAGTGCTCAGTAAGTAAGCGGGGAGCACCATCAATCGAGTTGTGCTGTTGGTGGATGGTTGGGAATTGTTAGGGAGGGAGGTTTGTGCATGCTTAGGTAACTTACTTAGGGCATAGAGGACTTTTTCCACGGAGCTCTGGACGTGATTGCAGTCAGGTGCATCCTGGTTCAGCTGTAAGTGCAGCCAGATGCATTCTGGAAAGTGCTAGTGTGTGTATGCCCTTGCTGTGAAGGTGCCCGGTGGTCGTCATTGATGGGCGCGATGCAATCGAATGGTATCGAGTAGAAATATTCGGAAAAACGACAAAAAGAAAAGTTGGGCAATGGAATATGCAGCATAGACCTTCGATGTCTCTAACGTCGCACAAGTGAAGTTGCTGAAGGAGTCGCACACACGTTGGACGTCGAATATCACACACACATGTCACACAAGTGAAGATGGCCGATCGCACACCGTGACTTACCTGAACGGAGAATGCCGCCATAGCTCTACTCGCTCGATTCATGTTAACCATAGCAGTCGGGATCGGGAGAAAGACAGACGTCCAACACTGGAGTACCCGCTATGGTTAGGTCATCATCATTCACGCTATGGATATCGACGGCTTCGTCTCCGAGACGTTGTAAGAGGGAAAGACCGGTCGTCACCCCACCACCACAACATTCGCAAGCGTTCTTGTTCCTGAAACAAGGACATCATTTCCAAGAAAACACAAAGAGTGGGCCGTCAGTAGTTTTCTCGTTTCCTCTTCTCGACATGAAACATACACAGGCGCTGGGCATTGCGCTCTGCCCACGCGCGAACCAAAGTCACACCACTCGGCATCGCTCCTTTTCCTCTTCATTTGGGACAAAGTTAAAAAACAATACACCGGCGAGGAAGGAAGGAGGACCCAGACCACGCGGCCGAACGGTAAACCCCTGTAGTGTTCATCACCAGACCTGAGTTCAAGCCCTGATGGGCTCGGACGAATAGCATACTTCCCAATTACCGGGGGACTGTGAGTCCGACGATAATCAGGGGCGACAACCTAGGTATCTAGTCCCGATGAAGCGGCAAGAGCAGAGGGGAAGTGTGGAGGCACCAACCACAGCAGCCAATAGACTACTCTCTCTCTCTCTCTCTCTCTCTCTCTCTCTCTCTCTCTCTCTCTCTCTCTCTCTCTCTCTCTCCCCGTGTGTTCGCGCCGATAGTTCTCCGTTCATCTACCAGTATCTGTCGTTTAACGACGCTCTCTCTCTCTCTCTCTCTCTCTCTCTCGCGCGCGCGCGCGCGCGCGCGCGCGTGGCATAAGCAGCTGCTGTGGCCTCAACCCATGACGGTCTCCCGCGAGATCCGAACCAATAGTCGACAATTGGGACGCAGGGAGGTCGGTGGGTGGGTAGATGATGAACGCACAGCTCGCACTCTGAGGATGGGTTCGGGAATGGTCAGAGCGATTATGTGAGAGGGTTGGGAAAAGCCGGCGGAGGGGGATATTGGGGGAGAATGTCGAGAGATGGGAGGTGGACGGGGCTGTGGGGATTGGAAAAGATCGTTGTGATCCGGAGGAGAGGACGTCGAGGAGGTACTTATCGTTTTTTTAGGTTCTCACCTATTCTTTTGGGCCGCTGAGAAGATCCAAAGAATAGTATGCGACAAGAGCGGTGGGAGGTCGCGATGCAGGGAGACGAAAAAGGAAGATGTCCCAGAATGCGGATGGTGGGGGAGGTCGCGATGGTGAAAGAGGGATACGAGGAAGCAGGGAAAAGTGGATATCAAGAGAGAATGTCAAGAGAGGCGGGAGTGGCCGGTGTAGAAGTGGCAAGATAAGGAGAACATGGAGGAGAGGAAGTCGAGGAGTCCCTTGTTGATTATTTTCTGATCTTTTCTTTCCCGCCGCTAAGACGCTTGACGGCCAGCTAAACTTGGCTTATGCTCTTCCTGTGGGCTTACCTCATCACACGGCAGTGGGAGGTCGCGCTGGGGGAACAGGGACGGGAAAGGAAGGCGCAGAAGAATATCAGGGCAGTATCGGGCAGAGCGGGCGGGGAGTGGTGCGATCTTCACATGCGGAAGAGGGAAGGATTACAATAGGAAGAGGAGAAGGAGAAAATCACGGTCTACTTGTTGTCTTTGTGGTAGAATATACATGGCATTGAGTGCGATGATGCCATGGAGAGGTATCTCCTGGATTGTCTGAGGCTGATGGAAAAAGGAAATGCCGCCATCCTTTCCGTCCTCGACGCTCAGGTTTGCGGAGTCCCTTACTCTCGGCGATTCCTGTGCTTGCAGGCGGGGGGGGGGGTAAAAGAGTAAGAGACGAGGAGGAGAATATGGAGGAAAAGGCGTGACCGTACGCACCTTTCTTCACGCGGAGCAGTCCTATTGCCAGCCGCCTCCTCAGCGCTACTGACCTCCGTGCTCTCCTTCCGGGGCAGACCGACCAACTGCACACCGTTGTACATTCTCTGAACGGGCTGGCGGTGGGTCCGTGCTCGCACGAAGCAGAGTGCCCCGCCGGTTTTCATTTCTTTCTTTTTTTTCTTTTTTTTTTCACGCCGTTTCTGTTTTTTTTTTGCCGTTTCTTTTTTTGGGTCAAGTTGCAGAATAAACCCATAAGTTGCCAAAATGCCCCTGAAAGATGTGGGTAGAGCGGAATGCCCTTTTGGCTGAAATCTGTCGGTTATGCCCCTGTCAGGCCGCTGTGCAAATTTGCATTCTGGACCTGGCCGCTTGGGCCTTCGCCTTTTGCAACCGGGCCTTGGAAAAGTTAGCAAGTACAGAGGCATTTTGCAAAGTTGGACAGTGCTCGGTAGGGATATATTGCAAAGATGGGGGCTCCAACCGACACCAGGGGTATTTCACAAAACATTTTCTTTTGTAAGAGGGGCATTCCGCTCTACTCCCATCTTTTTGGGGCCTTTTCGCATATACCTCAACTTACGGGGGTATTTTACAACTCATGGGGACATTTTGGCATATATCTCGACTTCTTTCTTTTCTTCTTTGTTTTTCTTGCTCAGCCTCATCTGTCGTAATACTACCAGGGGCCTGGACCTACTAGCGAAGTATTCTACGACGTGTGACACAGTTTTATGGTTTTCTGGAAAATACAAAGTGATTTTTTATTTGCATGAATGGATCGTTTTCTGCTTTAAAAGGAATTGAAATAGCACATAAAAGTATGAAGAACAGCTGTGCACCCGAATTCAAGGGTGCCCCCTGGCCCCCTTGCTATTCGCTATTCAGATGGAAGGAGTCTTGAATAACATCAGGGCACACTCCCAAATCCTAGGCCTACATGCAGGGCCTTCACCCCTCAAGGTGAAAGCCCTTGCAGATGATTTATTTGTTGTTTCCCACAATACGCCTGAATCACTAGCTGCACTCAAAGCCTGCTTAGATGAGTACTCGATTTTGTCTGAAGCGACGCTAAACTGACACAAGTCTGTCTTCTTCCTCCCTAATGATTACTCGCTATGCGTGGAATGGGGTATGAAGCGTATCAATGACAACGAATCGGAATGCTTTTGGGGCGTTCAAGTGGCCTTGAAATTCTGTACAAAGATACAAGAAAGCATCCTCACTCAAAAAGTTCTGGCTCGGATTGGCTCGTGGGGTAAAGCTCCTCATTTGCCCCTCTTCGGCCGAGCTTTGGCACTGAACAGTGCCCTATTCGCTCTCTTAGGGTATGTGGGCAGGGTTCGAGGTCTGAGCGACTTATCTTATAATCTTATCAAACGACGAGCAGCCAAACTGCTCTGGAAACCTTATGCAGAAGAAGGAGAGGCCTTTATCTCGAAAGTTGCATGGGAGATTCTTTGCTACCCTTGTAATGAGGGAGGTTTGGGGATGTTAGACCCACAACGACAAATCACAGCTATGCTGTGTAATTGGGTGGTTAAAGCTAGTCTTACATCCCCCCCACCTCATTGGGCATGTTTGGCTGAGACACTTCTGAGTCGTGAATGAAATTTGCAACGACCAGAGGATATCTGGATCTGTATTCAGTTATTCTCTTATCAGAGAAGACAGATCAAATCGTCACTCTGGGCAATGATTATCAAAGCCTGGAAAAGACTCAGGCCCACCATCTGGTCAGAACCGCGCTCAAAAGCCGAAGTGCTAGCTCAACCCCTTTTTGAGAACACCAAAATTCAAGACCAATCGGGGAACTGGTTGGGGCCGACTCCTCCACTGCGAGTTTCGACCGCTCATGGATTGAAAGGGGTGTCCTGCGGATAAAAGACATATGGGAGTCAATCAAGGGTGTATGGAAAACTGAAACTGAGTTGAAGCAGCAGTTGGGCCAAATACGATTGGTGGAGAATAGGAAACAGACAATAATCAGAGCGATCCCGCTGCAATGGAAACAAATCTTGGCCCCGGACGGGGTTGACCCGCCAGGGACGTGGTTTGCAGACATGGAACCCCCTTTGCAGCAAGTGTGGAAACTGATTTCACTAGATGAGAACAGTAGGCGTTGTCGCGCGCGGCGGTCCCACACCCAGACGCAAAGTAGTTTAGTGTCGGACCTCACAGTCGTGTCACACAGGAGTATCCTTTTGTCACTCGTAACGAAACACCACTCCGACCGTGCGCGCGTGCTATACCTCCCGCGACTCCCTACGACAGGTTAGGGAACCCGCGAGGTACAACATACCTCCACCTGCGGGAGCTGTCACCATCCCTTAGGTGGGCGTATCCCTGTTGAGCTACTGACCCACGTGCGAAGGCTTTTACATGCAATCGCAGAGGTAGGCCAGCCGAGGACGTTTTCTCGATCGCCGTAGCATAGGCATACGCACGGTAGAACGCCTTAGGACTGACCCGTACGTCGTGCCCCGAGATACTAACTCCCCGGACCGACTATCTAATCAGGTCGACCTTTTCAGACAGTCTTCCACGCTTAACTAATTATGACAATGACTCTATGTTCTCCTTTGTTGACTTTATGAGAAAAGCTAGAGTCAAACTCTTTGTAATCTCTCGTTCTCTCAAACAGAAACCTAGTCAAATGACTTTCTGAGCCCCGACCAGCTACGATCTCTCTCTCAAAAAAAAAAAAAAAAAAAAAAAAAAAAAAAAAAAAAAAAAAAAAAAAAAAAAAAAAAAAAAAAAAAAAAAAAATAAATATATATATATATATATATATATATCATCAAATAGAACTGCCCGGTATATGTATGTATGTATGTAAGTCAGGGGAGCTGAATGAGCGGTGGACCTCACTTTCACGATTGTTGTGTCCCTAGCCCGAATATCTCAGACGATCCCAAATTCAGAAGACAACACAAATGTCCAACACCTGTGCAAATGCAAGAAATCACATACACACATACAGATGCAGACATAGAATGCGCTACAAGCGTCAACCTTTAACCCATTCATAACAAGCCACTCACGCCCCAAAACCTTGAAAGACAACATTCCTTCCTAAACCCGCCTCCTTTTACCCCAGCCCTTCACATTTTCAAAGACCTCTGAGTGTGATGTGGACAATTTTAGGCATAGATACAGAGAAAGATTTATCTGTTTCCTTCTCGGGTCTTGTCTTAGGTGTGGGTATCGAGCCAAATGGAAGTTGAGTCAGAATTTTACCGACCTGTTATCTAGAGATAACAAAATTTGCAGTTCCTTACGGATTTCTTCCGTAGTCCTCTCCAAGAGTGATGAACCTGTAGACACAACACAGTCCAAAAGAAGTTTAACATCCCTTTTCCCCTAAACTGGGATCTAGAATATTTCTCTCAGACTTGTGCCCTCTTTCTGTCTTCTATCCTTAACTATCTGTTCGGGCTATTGCCTCTTTCGGTTTAGGTGATGAACCATTGTTCATCCCATTTTGTCATGAGACGCAGTAATTCCTTCGAACTATCTCCTTCCCATCCTCCTTGAGATTATCTTTCTGAGTTTCCCTTCCTTTTTCCAACACACATGAACACATCGCGAATCCAATCTTGTGGAAAGAAATCTCATGGAGGGAAATCAACTCAAATGTTCCAAGGTAAACGGGTAGTCTTTCTGAGGCAAGATCTCACTTTTCCCCTCTCAGTAGAATCAGAGATCATTAGTTAGGACTGAATGATGCAGATTGTGGAGAAAGTTAGCGGTGGTATGGCAGACCATTCAGGATTTATCCACTTTTTTACTGGCGCCTGTTTGGCAAAAGGCAAACCTTGTGGGCCTTGGCCCTCTGTGTGTTGAAGCACAATTGGCAGCAGGCTTAACCCATGGCTGGTTACTGATAAGGCAGGTTTTTCGTGACACCTTGCTACTCTTATCATTGGCTAGTCACTGATAAGGCATGTTTCATAGAACCCTGCCACTCTTATCTCTGAATAGACATAAATAAGGCAGACCACCAGGAACCTCGTTACTCTTATCACTGAATGAATGCGTGAACCTATCAGCGTTAAGGCAGGTGTCATTGAAACCTCGCTACTCTTATACCAGACTAGTCGCTGATAAGGCAGGTTTCCCTGCTACGCTTATCACTGGCTAGACATCAATAAGGCGGGTGTCCAAGGAACCTTGCTGCTATTATCACTGAAAGAATGCGTGAACCTATCAGCGATAAGGCAGGTGTCCTTGAAACCTCGCTACTCTTATATCAGACTAGTCACTGATAAGGCAGGTTTCCCTGTTACTCTTATCACTGGCTAGACATCAATAAGGCAGGTGTTCAAGGAACCTTGCTACTCTTATCACTTAATGAGTGCTAGGCTGATCACCGATAAGGCAGGTGTCCTTGAAACCTCGCTACTCCTATATCAGACTAGAAACTGATAAGGCAGGTTTCCCTGATACTCTTATCACTGGCTAGACATCAATAAGGCGGGTGTCCAAGGAACCCTGTTACTCTTACCACTGACAGAATGTTAGGCTGATCAATGATAAGGCAGGTATCCTTGAAACCTCGCTACTCTTATATCAGACTAGTCATTGATAAGGCAGGCTTCCCCTACTACTCTTATCATTAACTAGTCATCAATAAGGCGGGTGTCCAAGGAACCCTGCTACTCTTATCATTGACTGGGTGTGAGGCTGATCACTGATAAGGCAGGTGTCCTTGAAACCTCGCTACTCTTATATCAGACTAGTCACTGATAAGGCAGGTTTTCCCTGCTACTCTTATCACTGGTTAGACCTCAATAAGGGGGGTGTCCATGAAACCTTGCTATTCTTATCACTGACTCAGTGTAAGGTTCATCGGTGGTAAGGCAGAAATCTTTTCATGGAGCCTCGCTACTCTTATCACTGACTAGTCGTTGATAAGGCAGGTTTCATAGACTCTGCTACTCTTATCATGCGACCAGTCACTGATAAGGCAGGCTTCATGCGACCCTGCAACTCTTACCCCCACACAAGCCTTGTCGACAGGCCAAGTCATTGCCTTTGAGGCCATTCGAGCCTTGAACCGTTGTCAGTTTTGAGGATTTATGCTGGATTAGATGCGTCATGAGGATTGATCGGT